TGCTATCTGCCCAAAGAAGAAAACCGGTCGCCTTCTATTTGCCGGGGTGTTTCTATGAATGGGCCGGCACCTACTTTATTTTTTAATACAGTTATCACCTTAATACTAGTTCAATAAAATGTTTAAAACTATTTTGAGTATAATTCGTAAATAAAAAAGTCTGATTAGATGCAAACACGGATCACAGAAAATACATTGAAACATATTAATAGCAAAAAATAAAATTTACGATTTTTCACTCCTTACGGCATCTAGGACAGAAAACAGAACTATCATGTACTTAATCTATCTTTTGGTCAGATATATCTTTAAAACTGAAAACAGACATAAATTACGCATGAAATACTAAAAATCATAACGATAATTTCAACAAAATATTCATTTTACACACTAGTACAATCATTTTTACTTAAGTAAGTTAATAAAATAACTCAGAAATATTTCATAAATAGCAATTTCAGGCAAGCAGAGGATGAAATATATAATAATTAATGGTAGGTTTTGTGGACGGCATGTTCTAAATGCCGTCCACAAAAAACATAAATACAAGATAAGTGCCAGAAAATACTTTTTTTCTTTTTAAAAGTTATTAACAAATTTTTTATGAATGAATAGAATTATTTTAAATATACTTTTATGTGATTGTCAAGTTAAACCAATTGAAAAAAAAATAAAAAATGGAACGGAGGGAACATTTTAAAATACCTGTTAAAAATTTAATTTAAAAAACTAAAATTAAAAAAAAAATTAAAATTTTATTTTTTTATAAATAATATGGCGATGCTATTAACCACATGTTTGCAAAATTTATTTATTCTATATTAATAATTGAAGAAAAATTTTTAAAAAATGGTCTACTGTCCTCTTATATGGCTACTAAACTATATTGACTATATACAGTTTTAAATATTATGAGTGCAACTAAAGCCTATAAACATCTTACTGATACATATATTTCGTTCACATTGAAAAATTGCATGAGAAGTATAAAACCTTGCATGTGCATTTAGCAACTAACAATCACGATGGCTATTTTTAATCTTCATAAAGTACACTTAACTATATAGTCACTTATTTACGTCTCTATTTACATTTCCATATTACTGAAAAGGAAGTTCCCGAAAAGCAAGAACAAACCGGCAACGCAACGAAATATCACAAACTGAAGTGTTATGCAGCAAATTTAAAATTTTTATAAACATAATAATTATTCTCTATATAAGTATGACTCACTTTCAAAATTAAATGCAAATCAAAGATATGAAATAGTTAAAAACAATAAATTGTGCTTAAATTGTCTTAGTAAGAAACATTTTATCTCAAAATGGAATTTTAAGTTCAGATGTGCTGAATGCCGTTCATAAACGGAAATATCCATTGATGAGAATATAAACCAGAATGCATATGGTTCTCATAAAAATTAATCAAGCTGTCTTTGGGCACGGGGAAAAAATATGTTATTAGTGACTACAATAGTATAGGTTTGTAATTCAGATGGAAAAGGAATTCCATTTCGGGAGCATTTCGCTAAAACTAGTAGCTAAAATAAAAAAAAAGTATAATTCAAATTCCATAACACGTTTTGTTACTAGTCATTTTTTAAACTGAATCTTTATAAAAATATAAACAAAGCCCCAATTTTTCATGGACCATCGTTTAGCATCCGCGGGTGTAGTGCGGTGAGGAAAAGAGTGAAAACGCTGATTAAAACAAGGACGAAGCTGCGCTGAGAAGAGATGATTCATTTCAAAGTTTTTAGTACTCCTAAACATTTGTTATTTATCAGAAGCTAAACGAATAGAAGAAATACTCTGATCAGGAGCAGGCCCCGACAGAGGGGTATTGTGTATTTGAGCTAGTTTTAAGAGATTGGTAATGATGAAAATAGAATGCAGTAAGCTAAGAAGAGAATTTCATGCAAACAAAAGCAAAAAACATGCAAGCTACGCTTCCAAATTATTCTTTAATTACAAAAAGATAGGTGCAGCAACGTTTTCAGCTTTCTTCTGACGACCACCCCGAAATTCTTGGAAAGAGGTTATTTCCTAATGATCACTTGGAGATCTCGAGGAGCAGTCACGTACCATTATCAAGTCTTTGTTTTCTTTACACTTGTTTCTGTTCCTTACGTCCATTTATAAGTGTTTTGTTATGCATTTTCACAAATCACCCGGTTTGAGTCCCAAATCGGAATCGAAAAATTCTGACCGAGATTTCCCAGGTCTGCCATCATTATAGCCGCTTTCAATCAAGGTATCTCACCAATCGAGAGAGGCTTTGAAATATTTCGGACAAATGAGAAATCAGGAAGTCATCCTGACACGCCCAGGACAACTTGAACAAAAATATTGAACGCAGTTCCAGAAAATGAGTTAGTTAATGAATTGGTTGCGTAGTGGAGAGAAAGAGAGACCTTCTCTAGTGTGCTTTCAGCTCTCTCTAGAGCAGTTTGGGTTTACTCTGCCAAGAGAATTCATATCTCTCTGCGGAGAGATCCAGTAACTGAGCCGCTATCTAACTTGAGAGCAACCTGCTCAGAAAGGCCAGCTCCGGCCCAAAGAGATAACAACAAAACTGTTTCCCGTACACTGGAACTTTCCCTTGCATCGAAACAGAAAAACTTCATAAAAACTATAGTGTCTAGGTAACGGAAATGAACTCTAACAGACTCAGTGCTTCATCTGTTTGTTTTATATTTCCCCCCTTCTTTTTATGATGAGAACAATATGTTATAAATTATTTGCATGAAGCCTAGAACTCGCTACAATGCGTGTAGAAGTGAGAAGAGAGAAACTTAAAAGGGCGGGCAGCAGATATAGTAACAGTTAAAATGAGAAACTAACTAATAGACTGTAGGTATATTAAGCAAGCAGGTACACCAAGTTACACATATGCACAAATTTACGCAAATAGAACAAATGCACAAAGGTACACATGTGCGTATATTTGTATATAATATTAAGAATATGCAAATTGTATCATAAAGTTGCCTCAAGTACATTTGAAAAATTAATACAGCTACTTGTCTAAGTAAGGAGCATGAACAAAACATATTTAAGTATGCTAGAGAAATAGTGCATATAAGTTGAATGTTGCAGCTAATAAGTACACGGAATCCATGATAATAAATACATAGTTGCAGAATACTGGCATCGAAATAATAAATCTGCGGTATGTGCTATTTATGTTTCCCAGTCACGCTTCGGCCAAACATTTTTTATGCAGTACATTTCCAATTATCCGAACTTCGACTGTCCGAATCGCTTTCAGATTTTAAGCAAAAAATTAAGACGGAAACTTACTGCGATTTGCAAAATAATGATTCTGTCTACGTGAGCTATTATTCTTTCCTCCGCGAAGCTAGCGAACATTATTGGGAAGATTAGTCACCGTCTGATAGTGCATGTCTATTATTGGCTACAGTATTGTCGTCCGTCGCCAGGTGGCAGGCCCGACCCACTTGTTGCTGTTCGTTTTGATTACTAGTCAGTCAGGGTGTCGTTGATCTGCTGCAGTATTGTGACGGTACTATTTCGCGTAGGTCCGTTGTTATGTTTGCGAGTGCGTTTCGTCATTCACAATGGCTTCTAAAAGAAAACGCGTTGTATTATCGCTAGCGGATAAACTAAAAATTATAGAGCAGTCAAATAAAGGAGTTACGCGTCAACAGGTGGCTGAGATGAACGGTTTTGGACAATCAACGATTCCAGATATTAAAAGGAGCAAATGATGGGTGATTCCTCAGACCCTGGGTTTCAAATTCTAAATGATGATGAATTTAATGAAAGTGTGAGAGAAGAAAGTGTTGAAGAAAAAGATGAATTTAATGTCGAAGTTGAAGCAGACACGGGACCATCATCTAGTGAAGCGTTTGTAGGCTTTGAAACTGTGTTGAAGTGGATGGATCGTCAGCGCGAGTGTGACCGCATGCAACTTCTCATTGTCAAGCCAATGCGCAATTTGGCAGCACGAAAACGGATGAAGACAGTCAAACAGCTTACTTTGACCGAGATGTTCAGCAACCAATGATTTTCAGCACTTGTAAGTACTGTACAGTACGCTTTATAACATGAACGTAAAATTGTACATTCATTTTAAATAATTAAAACCTCTTTTTCTTTCAAAATAGTTTTTTCCTCCCATTTTCAACATACGGTACATATAGTAGTTCCTTTCTTCGGGAAAAAAATTCAATTATCCGAATGTGGTCCGGTTCCAATTGATTCGGATAAGTGAAGTCCCACTTACTTTGAACACTCTCCTTACACCCCTAAAATATTTACAGCTGCTGTTGTCTTCAAAATTTGGCAAGAAGAATTTCAATTAAGTGAATTTGCACGTTTTTTAAATATTGCGTCTTATTAATATTAAGAAAGCAATACACATATGATTTTCGAAATCATAATTAAGTAGTGTAGATCTGATTACTTTAGCATTTAAAATTTGGAGAACAGCTTGATTGTTTAATCCGTGTTCTCATACTGAATATTTTTGTTGTCATTTTTGATTTAAGATATAGGTACTTTCGCCTTAGACGAAAACACAAAAATTTCTGGCACCTTGTATATGTTAGTTTCTATTTTTACTGTACGATAATGTGTCAAATCTACGATAATGTGTAAAAGATATGTCAAAGTTCTTAGTTGCTATTATTGCTTATCCAACGAAGACTTCATCTGTACTAAATATATGGCGCCACGCCTAATCAACTTCTTCACTACTGAAGACTTTGTACTTTTATTACAAGTGCACAGGATTTTTTCACTTTTATGGAATTTAACGAACTTTTACAGGTCCTTAGGGGATTGATAAACATGTAGTGGTAAAGGCCTTCAGGTCGAACACCGCTTAACGAATGATGATCTCCGTTGTCCTTTTTGAGTCACAGTTCAGTGAAGAAGCAAACCGCAATATTTGTTTCGCAGAACGAAACTGGAACTAACAAATATATCGATATAGAACAAGACTGCGTAATTCTTATCGTAACTTCTTTAATAGATGTGTTAAACGGTTTCCGGTTGTTTGACTGTTTCTGAATTTAATTTGATTAAATAAAAAATTTTATAGTGCCTTAGGTGAATGCAAATTTCACTGTTAAATGCAAATAGTTAATCTTATAGCAGCGATGTAAGTTTTAGTTTTTTCATTTTATGAAATTAAATGCATGAGATTTAAATTGCATATTAATTTCGATCGTTTTCGTATTTAATACACATATACCTTTTTGCATTAGGAAATAAAACTTTAGATTTTATTTCCCACAAGTAAGGATAATATATATATGGTGTGTCTAGTTATAGTGTATGATGTATGGCTTTCCAGACTGTACCATATGACATTCAGTAAAATATCGAGATGTATAATTTATTGGTTATTTGCATGAATATTTGGTGTCGTTTCTGCAAATGTCGATCTTTAGGGCATTAAATAACTATCACATACCGAGGTTGGTTGTTATAAATTCGGCTGTGTATTACTATGTGTTCTTATATACATGTATATATTATATGTATATATCATAAAAAAGCACACGCACACACAATATATATATAAAGAAAAAATTAAAAATCATTTCAGTTTTGCGTATATATATATATATATAGAATAGTTTAAAATTAAGACTTAGTGTGAAATAGGTTATTAAAATGAGCACATTTGTATGAGCTTTTGCATGTTACATGCTGCACCTTGAATTCAGTTTTTGAGTTAAACTGTACAAAAAGAAATCTACTGACCTGAAATTTAGAGCTTTAGATTCTTGATCTTTAACGAAAGCAACCTAGTGACAGATTTTCTCGAAATATTTAGAGCATTTCTCTAAAATTAGAAAGAACACTGAGCATTTGTTTGGAAATATAAGATATTGTATTTTGTAAAAGGTTACCGGCAGTTTCTCAGATGTTCTGCAAGAAATGGCCGCTGTATGTAAACAGTTTGGTACTTTTTGTTATCAGAAGTGGATTCAGAAATATATGTTGTATGTATTAACATGCAGTGTATGTACGTGTGCATATATGCTTTTGTGTGTATACCTTTACAACATGCATACATACATTAATTTCTGAATCCAGTCCCAGTAACAGAAAAGTACCAATAATTTTTTTCATTTTCAGAGATTAATTCATAATTTATTACTTGTTCATTACTATATCATTACATATATACATTATATAATAAATTAGCCAAATATGGTTATCATTAATTTTTTATTATGTAGTGTTATAAAGGTTACTACATTTTCATATGGTAGTGTATGTTATTCAGTTGCGAAAAACTCCTATTGATCAATGTGTTAATAACTAAATTGGTATTCTTCTGTTATTGGGACCAGAATAAGAAATATATGAATATAAGCATGTGTGTATATATGTATGTGCATCGTACATATATTTATATATGCATGCATTAACACATACATACATACATACATGCATGCAAACATACATTTCTGAACCCAGTCCCAATAACAGAAGTGTACCTTTAAATTTTTCTTTGATTATATCGTATTCCTATTAATCCACAAATAATGTTTGTGCTGTGTCATAAGCTATAATATTTTGAGCTGTAGATTTCACTTAACATTTTATAATTCTAAAAGTATACATAAGAAAATTTTTATGGAAAGTTAAAATTATTTTTTCATAAGGAAATTTAAGAGTCATATATTCAATTTATTTTATGCCTTCCACCTCAGCAAAGTAATACCTAGTCATTTGCTAACATGTTTATCCTTATGCTATTTTTTTTTACACATTTCATGAATAAATAATTTCATGATTTCATTTGAACATTTGACTAGCCTATATTTGATGATGCCCTCGCCAAGTTGTTGTTTCATTTATGGGAACCTGAGTAAAGGGTGCCTATTGGATTATCGCCAAGTTGTTGTTTCATTTATGGTAACCTGAGTAGTTGAATGTTATGAAAACCCTATTATGACGTAAAAGATTTGTAAGGGCTTGTTTGTGTGTTGGTTAGGAAGTTGCTTATTTTGTAGTTTACACTATAAAACGGCTGAATGTACTAAGATTAATTTGACATTTGTATAGGATTTGGAATGAAGGGGGGAAAGCATTAATTTACTGGTGTGTAAATGAAGGTTTACTTAGTAGCAATTATAAGTGTCCTGTTTGTACAAAGGAAGTGCATATGGTCGAACGTAAAAATTGTTCAGATGGCTTTCTCACAAGATAGGTTCAAATGGTCACCATATAAAGCGTTCCATTAGAAAGGGAATATGGTTTGAGAAAAGTTTTTGGATGCCGTTTAGGAATTTCGTATGCCACAGACTGAGAACAGAGAAATTTCTTAATAAGGTAGCTGGCTATTTCCTTTGTGGAGTGCGTAGTGCTTTTTTATGTTATTTCATTGTCTGATTTAAAACACAGTTTATTGAGATTACATATTTTTTGTGTGCAATGCCACAACACAAAAGATTGTGCAATTCTGTGATGTTTTTTAAAGTGAAAATAGGTCGTAGTGCACATGGATACCGAGTTTGTGCATTTCACAGAAATTTCGGTTAATCTTTGAATTATGGTAACTTAGCGATTTTTTGGCGAAAATTTGGCGACCAATCTTGCTACAGCAACCTGCTAGTTTTTTTTTGGACGCCATTTTGTTTTCACGAAGTAAAGGCTTTTTTTTTTTTACTCAACATTTTTTTCTAAGAATCTGCTAGCCGAATTACGCTTATGCTAGAACTTTTATGGAACAAAAGTGCTTAATCATGACGAAGAGTAGATGCGAAATTGGGAGAAAGTGCAGAATCGTCCACTGCTTCCGCGTTTTTAAGAATTGCACATACACAGTATTCATGTACACGTCAACTTATTTTCACTTAAAAAAACATCCCAGAATTGCACACACTCTTAACATGGCATTACGGACACTCTTAACTTTATCCATGTACACATCGACCTATTTTCACTTAAAAAGTCAAAGAAAATTGACAAAGATCCAATTCTTCTTACTCTTGTAAAAAGTGCCAAAGAAATAAGTAAGCGATTCTGCACTTTAGCAGCGAAATTGTTTCTGAGTGCTTATTAGCTAAAATCACGGTCGTAATTTTCCGGAAAATGGCACATTACATGTCTCATGATCTCTCATTTCTCTGAGACAAAACTGGGTACTTCTCAGATTATTGCTAAAGTCCTAGCTAGTAACCTTTATCGCCTTACCAAAATGTTGCCAAACTACCTGTTACCATATTCTAAAGATTAGCCGAAATTTCTAAATAAGGTAGGTAGCTATTTCCTTTGTGTAGTGAGTAGTGCTTTTTTATGTTATTTCATTGGTTGATTTAAAATGCAGTTTATTGAGATTATATATTTTTTGTGCGCAGTGCCGAATTTGTGCAATTCTGTGATGTATTTTTAAGTGAAAATATGTCAATGTATACATGGATACCGAGTTTGTGCATTTCTTTGACTTGTTATTTTGTCTTTGTTTAGCGGTGATTTTTGGCACAAAAATCGTCGCTAAACAAAGGTAAAATAACAAATCAAAGAATTGCATAAGCTCTGTGCCCATGTGCCGCCAAAAATTGCCAAGTTTGCCAAGGGGGCTCCGTCAAATATACTTTTACCGAACATTTTTCAGAAATTTCAGGGTGCTACATTATCAATCAACAGTGTTTACTTTTGCCACATAAATTCAAAAAAATAAAAATAAAAAATATCCTCTGGACTGTTGGTGGCATTTCTTTTGAAAATCCCTTTTTTATTCCCTCCTTAAATCAGTACCATATTAGTTTAAAAAATCCACAGTTTGCGCACCCTTAATGTACTCATTTTGTAAGGATTCTTTCATCAGTAACCACACAAAACTGTCTTCTAGTTAATGAATTGTGAATTCAATGGTCTGTCTTGTATATATGAGCCAGTTTCCCTGAGAAAAATCCTCCTCGAAGGCATCTTTCCCTTTGGCAGAAAGCCTTTGAGGCTTTGCCTTAAGCACATAAAGAAGATCTTTCTGATATACTGGCAGTAGAGTCGTTAAAAATGGAGCATGGCTTAAGAGCATGCAAACCCTATAAATTTGGTAAAAAAATATTTACGCAATTTTTGGCGGTACATGGACACTGAGTTTGTGCAATTCTTTGACCTCCAAAAATCGCCGGTACACAAAGCCAAAATAACAAGTCAAAGAATTGCACAAACTCGGTATCCATGTCCACATCAACCTATTTTCACTTAAAAAAAACATCAGAGAATTGCACAAACTTGGCATTGAGGCCCTCCCTTGACTTTGTCCATGTACACATCGATCTATTTTTACTAAAGAAGTCAAAAGAGCAGCCAGTTCTACACTAGAGCCAAACAAAAAATATATAATCTCAATAAACTACATTTTAAATCAAACAATAAAATAACATAAAAAAAGAAATTCATCTTAGCACTACACAAAGGAAATATCCACTTACGTTATTTAGAAATTTCCATCTTCATTCAAACAAAATTCCTTAACAGCATCCAAAAACTTCCTAAAATTATCTGAACTAGAATCTGTATACTGGTGTCACCCCATAAATTCATAAAAACAAGAATAAAAAATATCCTCTGTAGTGCCGGTATCCTCTGACATTCAACAATATGCATTTCTTTCGCGTAAGCAGCATACTTATAATGGCTACTAAGTAAACCTTCATTTACACACCAGTCAATTAATATTTTTTTCCATTTCATTCCAAACAGTGTATAAATTCAAATTAATCACGCCACATTCAGCAATTTTACCATAAACCACAATTTAAGCAACATACTTCCTAACCAACATCCAACGCACACAGGCATATACAAATCTTTTCCCATCATTCTAATTCACCGCAATCACGCAATCAATTGCATCATAATAGGGTTTCTATAACATTTAACTACTCAGGTTACCATAAAAGAAAAAACAACTTGGAAATAAATGAAACAAATACTTGGTGATACATGAAACAACAGCTTCACAATAATCCAAGGTGTACCCTTGAATACACTCTAACCTTTGCTTTGAAAACTTTGTCCCAAAATAAGTGCTACATTTGTGGAAGGTTAAAACTGAGAATGAAAATTTAGTATACAGCGTTATATTCATTGTATAATTTTACTGGTGTCTATCTACTAAAGTGCATCGGACGT